GCGGTCCTTAACTACTTGAAAAGATCGCTTGTTAATGCTTCGACTTGAGCCGCTGAAATAATTGATGATGAAATTGATGATCAGATGAAATAATTGAATAAAGTGTTATTTACTGTTACATCTCAGAATGTGGTCAGTTGTCCAACTAATAATTAGTCGCATACGAAAGGTCAGTCAGTGTACTTCTGAGAAATATTTTGTTCAATGAGTCAATCTGCTGCATATTAACAATTACTGATCATTGTTAAGGTTTTCAGGGGCATTCATGAAAACATGTTTTTAATTGTTAGTTTACTCTTTATTTCAATAAATACTCTAAGGGATTTGTCAAACAACAAAATTCAGCGTCTGCCCGTGGATGTTTTTGGCAACCTTACTGAGATGAAAAGGCTGTAAGTGGCACTCAGTACAGACTTCACTGGAAAGCAACCTATAATGTATAGTTTTTGATAGAGCTTTAAGTAGCCCAGGGCACTATGACCATTCTAAAAGCAAAACTTCGCAGATTTAAATTTGGTGGCTATCACAAAAAAATCATCTGGTAAATTAAACTGAGAAGTGATATCATGATATAGAAAAGGCTCATGTTATCAGTGGACGCGCAGATGGCATTTTTTTCCTAAATTCTCAAGATCAGGAGTAAACAGTTTGTATACTCAGCTAGGACGCGTAAAGATTTGTAAGTTCTCAAAACAATGCAACCAACTGGGTTTTATTTCGATAAATTGAAGTCTTCTTTTTTCGAAGAGAGCAAGTAAAACTTTTCAAGAATCTCAAATCCCAATTAACTTGCCTTCTTTTTCATTTTACATATTTCTTACAGCTTTCTCTCCAGTAACAAACTTCAGCGCTTGCCAAGCTTCAAAAATCTCTCCGCGATAAAAACATTGTAAGTGATTAACGATTTTTAATAAAACCAGGTTAAATCACGTAACTTGAATGAGCAATTATACTGGGAAGTGTTGGCAAAAGCCTAATGATCAGCTTACCTACGGACTATTTCTCTGGCATCTTCTTATGACATATTATAAGTTTTTTTATTGATGTTAACTGAATAAAACGCGAAAAATATACAACCACATTGGGAACAGATGTCGTCTACTAAGAATAATCAAGGGCAAATGTGAAAGGTGATAGAACACAATGTGATACAACACATCCTAAACAATACTTTGATAACACCCCTCCCTTGGGGCTTTGCGGCAACACTATGGTAGTAACGATGACTGATGATTAATGATTAATGATTACCCAAATCAAACTTTTCTGAGAGTAGAAATTAAAATATTCTAGTGGCTATTAAAACACTATCAATCTATCTTGAGATAACTTGGGATTTCAATGAAAACAATGGATCCAAAAAGTCCAGTTTCAAACTAAAATTTTTCTGGCAGCTTTTCCGCATGTTCCAGAAAAGGGTTGCTTAAAAGCATAGAATTCTTGGTGCTGTGATTGGGAATATGAGCTCTATTTACTCGATCGATTGCAAAAGTAAGTGGGCTCGCGTCCGATCATGTATTTGAATGTCACAATAGCGTTACCAAGGTATATACATTGTTTAACCGACAGCCAGCATAAATCTTCGTTAAAGGCATGGCTTGATAGAGCTTACTTGTTCTAGTCACAATGCACACGGCAACGTTTTGGTCCGAATACATTTTTGGTATGTTTTTTCAGGAAGTGTTGGAGTACACTGAAGGGAATTAAAACAGTTTGGTAGATACCAAAGCACTAATTCACTTGTGAAGGAGGTTTCGCCAAAATGAATGCATGTTTAACGCGACTGACTCTAATAACTGATAAACCAGTTTCTATAACACGAGAGAGGTTTCGGGATAGAAACAGTCTCGAGGTCCTTGACAAATAATGCTGGATCAAGGTTACTAATTAAAAGAGTCTTTAAGTTTCTTAATCAGCTGCTTGCTACCAAAGACCATTAAAGTCAACAAATACCTCTCCCTATCTAATACTCCGTTCACACCAAAGCTTAAACATGTTTTAAACTTGTTTTGGTAAACATATTAAAGAGGACTAGCCGTTCACACTGCGGGCGCGTTTAAGAAAACGCGCCTTAAACCGTGTTTAACAAAACTACCTCGTCAGGTAGTTTATCAATCGTGTTTGATAAAACCTATTCAAAATGGCGACAGAAATTAAAACGCGCGGAAGAGTTTGGGAGCATAAAGAAACCCTCCTGTTGCTTGAAAAGTGGGGAGACGAGAGTATCGAGCTTAAGCTAAAATCATGTACACGAAAAAAGCCTATATGGCTACATATTGCGGCAAATCTTCGAGCTGCAGGCTACGAAGACGGAGACGACAGTAGTTGCAAGACACGAATTCACACTCTGATAAGCGCGTACAGGAGTTACAAAGACGAATGCACCAAGACGGGAAATGCCACACCAAAGAAGAAGCCGGCTTTCTTCGACGAAGTGGACGAGCTGATGTCGGACAAGCCATGTACAAAACCAAAGGTGACTATAAAGTCCGCAACAATTTCCATTGATGGCGACGGTGATGGAAAAAAAAAACAAAACCAGAAAACGTTGAGCCGAACGTAAACATCCCTGGCAGCAGCAACGAAAGGTCCGAAAACCTTGAGAAACCTTTCAACTGTGTGACAGCGGTGACAGGTAAGAGTTATAAAATGCTCTCCGATTGGAGGGCCAGACAATACCATGGTGTTCAAAAGCAACATGTATCATTGTCTGTAAAAGTCACGTCACAACCCAAAAACTAGAACTTTATTTCAGTGTCAAAAATATTTAGCAGCACAGGCACAAGCTAATATTGGGGACAACAGTCTAGTTAACAACAATTATTAATCTACAATATAAACTCTAAAATCTGACATCTCAAAAAAAGTAATAATCAATTCAATCAATACGTTTGGAGAGTTTTTGAATGCGTACAAGGAGATAAGAGACAGGTGTATCCGTATATTACAGTGTAATATTGAGATAACTAAACCAAAAGTCAATTTATCATATTTTATGTCTCTCTTGGCTTTCATGTTTAAGCAATCGCCTTGAATCTTGNGGGAAGCCGATGAAACAAAGAAGCCGGTATCCCGTCAGTCGGCCGTCTTAAAGGCAAATAAAAAGAGGAAAACCGCGTCTGATGTCTTTACAAAATTTGACAAAATGTGACAAAACGTTTGAGTCCTTTATGGAGTATCAGCAAGCGGCTGACAAGAGCTTCATCGAAGCTGAAGCGGCAAGAGAGAGGCGAGAGGAAGAAAGAGCGGAGAAGCGAAGGGAGGAGGATCAAAAATTTCTCCTGAAACTGGCGCAGGGTCTGCATAACTAGAACCTAGTAAGTACCGGCGTCAGTTTCCAGTTCGGTTTTGTCTTTTTGTGCGAGCCGTTAGAAAAAAATTAGACCAGCTTATGAGCGATTTTAAAACGTGCATTCCTTGAAATGATATTTCTTGTTTAATTTGATGGCATTATCGTTAGTTCATTCGCTGTGATTCATTGCTCAAATGATTTGGCTCATATTTTTAAACGCCTTTTTCAATACTATTCAAATATCAAGCTTGAGTTTCCTAAGCCTGCTTTTAATGTTGGACAGATATTTTAAGTATCGAGTCTGTGCACATTTTTAGAGTAACTCCTCGGCTGCATGAGGAATGAGGCATGCGACTTTTCACTGTTACTGGTACATATATCATATCCGTAAAAAAATCCGTTAAAATGCACTGGTCATGCAGTACTGTGGCCTATAAGTGCAAAACACAACACAAACACTGAAAACACAACACACACAATCTGAAAACACAAAACACACGCTAAAAACACCACAAACTTATTTCAAACACAATACATTTATCTGAGATACAACACACCACTAACAACACAACACAAACACTGAAAACACAACACACACAAGCTGAAAACACAACACTTTTATCTGAGACACAACACATTGTGTCTTGCACTTATGGGCCACCTACACAACACAAACACAGGAAAGTGTGTTGTGTTTTCAGCTTGTGTGTGTTGTGTTTTCAGTGTTTGTGTTGTGTTGTATCA